CTCCACTCCCAGCTCTCTGGGGGCTGCCTGGGTACAGAACCGCCCTCTGGTCCCAGAGCGGCGCCTGAGAACCCCGCCCCGTGTCCTCTCGCAGTTGGGTTCAGGGCCCCCAAGTGCCCCTACTGGTCCAAAATGCGCCCCCGCCTTGACGACCCGCAGGGCGAGGTCGGAGCACCTGTGTCCCGAAGAAACTGGGAACCCGGTGAGGGCGGTGGAGAGGGAATCGAACCCCGAGTGCGCGGGGTGGAGAGTGAACAGTGAGCGAGAGGCAGCCGCGGGGCCTGGGCCGACGCAAGGTGCGCCCGCGGCGTCGCCCAATCTTCCCAAGCGGCTGCTGGAGCCAGGCCCGGGTCCTGGCGGTTTTCCTTGGGGGGTGCCCGGCAAGGGCGCAGCGGGTGGTAAAACTCCTCCGCCAGGGGCCATTTCCACGCCGGGCCGAGGAGCCACCGGCCGTGCCTTGCGCGCACCTGTGAGGGGCGCCCGGGTCCCGGGGCAGCGGCTCTGCGCGGGCTTCAGTTCCCGAGCTGGCCTCGCCAAGGGCTCCTCCAGGGAGCCCCGAGCCGGCAGGACAGTAAAGGTTTCCTGCCGTGGGGCTGGGTGTGCCAGGTATTAGGGACTCGCGCCCTGGCTCAATAAACTGTGGTCAGTGTCTCGGGAAACAGCCGGATCCCTGAGGTTATGGATCTTGGGGGAAGAGGGAACAGCGCCTGGTCTTAAAAACGCCCAGCCCTGGGGGCAGGAGAGCAGCCGCGAAAAGGGCACGCCCTGTGCCTGGGCGAAGAAAACTGGCGTCGATTGTCCCTGCTGCCCTGCTGCGCCCCGGAATTAAACAGGGGGGGGGTGAGCTGTGCCCACAGGGGGCCACTGTCCTGCCCGCTGCCTTAGTGGAGTCTGGGTGCCCAGGACACCCGGCGGGGAGCGCAGCTCCTGGGCGCCCCAGCCCAACACGCCCTGGGCCTGCTGCGCACCCGGCTCCTCGGAGCCTGTGGGCCGCACCCTGCGCCCGCCCGCCGGCCTTAGCCAGACGCTGGCCCCAGATTTCGTGCCATCCTCGTGCAGGAAGATCGGGTTTGCCTGTTCCTCTATTTCTAAGAACGGGAAACAAACGAATTAGAAAATTTCTGCTTTGGAAAAAATATCTGTTCGATGTCGTTTGGTGCTTAAATTGTCCTTGGAATTTTTTTTTTTGAATTTTTTTTTTTTTCCCCAGCTTCATTTGAAAAAGAAAAGAGGAAGTTGACGCACGCCCCAAACCTTGTTTCTCTTTAAACCAGCCCCTTAGACGTGCACTTGGTTACCGCAGATGTTTTCTGGGGCGAAGAGAGCGAAATGGAGTGGGAGGGAGGCTGGGGACTGGGAATCTCTCATTTTAAATCCCATTACTGGCTTTGAGGAGTAGCACAAAAAATCAGGGAAAGATAGTCCGTCCCCCACTGATTTCCTTCACTTCAAAGATTTCCCTCGCCCCTTAAATCAGAAATATTATGGCGCTAGGTGTTTCTCAAGGAATAAAATGCACATGTTTCTTCAGCATATATACACGATATAGGTCCCTTTTTACATTTCTCAGCCAAAAAGAAGAAAAATATAAAAAAGGGGGGGGTATAAGGCATTCAATTCCCTGGCTGTTAAATAAGGAATGCGGGCGCCCGGGGACCGCTCAGCCGCGCACCCCTCCACCGGCGCCCGCCCGCGTGGCTGCGTGTCAACAGCGCACGTGCTACCGCGGGCACCCACGGGCTCCCCAGCCGGCCCTGGCGGGCTCTGGGGAAACGGGCACCAGGTCTCAGTTGCCCGCTCGCAGCCCCACCGCCCGTGCCTCTAAGGGATCCCCTTTTTCTGCCTCTGGCTGGCAAGTTCGGAAGTCGATCGTTCCCCTCAAGTTCAGCCCTTGGAAATCCCTGCGCGAACCAGCCGGACCCCAGGGTCTCTTGCCCTCAAGTTGTTAACTTTGTTGCCATGAGTTGAGGTTAGTCCCGGCTCTTCTCCGCCCGCCCTGGGCTTTAGATGTAGCGCAAACTTCTGGTACCAGGTCACCAAAGGGAAGCCCAGCGCTTGTCCGTGGTGCAGGGCGGCGCGGAGCCCAGAAGAGCCACCAGCTCCAAGGCGCCTCCTGCCCCAAGATTGGATTTCAGATTTCCACCGCGAAGGAGCGGAGGAACCTGGGCATCTGGCTGAGACCCTGGAACTGACTAATTGCCCCGCATTTTCACAATGCGCCACGTGTTTGAAACGAAGGGCAAGCTTTATCATTTGGAACCCTTTCAAGGACCCAGGCGCTCCAAGTTTGGAGCTAATTCTTTAAAGGTTTTACTTCTGAGAAGGGGGGGGTGGTGGTGAAAGAATGAGACATACCCACAGTCCTTGCACTGGGATGGCACTGAAGAGTAGGTCGTGGTCTCTTTTGAATTGGGAGTTCAAAAGGAAAAAAAAAAAAAGTCTTGTTCCCTCCCCCTTGCCCCAGGGATGAAACCTCTCTAGATTCGAGCGGCCAGTTTGGCTTGATTTGCGCGGTTTGGAGGCTCTGGTGGGGTTAGGGGGCGGCAGGGCTCGGAAGACAGACCTCAGCTGCCTTCTGGACCAGCTGGTCCGCTTTTGGCCCTGTAAGCAGAAGCTGAAATCAGGGTGATTCGCCCTCACTCTGGCAGCTGGAAGGAGCGTCTGGGGAACGCATCCTAGAGTCTCCCTGGGCTGAGCCCTACACGCCTTGTACATGGACCTTCTCCATTCCCTGTCTCCCTCAGCACCCCCCACCTGTCTCCTGTCCCCCAGGGATCTAGTTCCCCTTTCTCTCTGTCATTTAGAGCCAGTTCTTACCTCACCAAAAACTCCTTTTTCTTGGAGTAACTTTCCAAAAGAGCTGTCTCTGTTCTAAAGTGCAGCCTTGTGGGGAGGTGAATTCGGGAACCTCTTTCTCAATGGCAGCCCCTTTGTGGGCACCATGCAGGGGCCCCTACAGTCTTCAGAGCACCACCTGGGCACTGAGCCTACAACCTGGTGCGGGCGCACAGCGCCAACACAAAAGAGGACTCCAGGCGCTTTGCTCTTTTCCAGTGAACCGCCTCAGAAACAAATCTGAATTTGGTTTTTGGTTATCTTTCAGGCGTGAAAAATATTTTGACAAAAGTATTCTCCAGGCTGCCTGGGTTGTAGGTGGGGGGCGTGGGGAGAGGGCGCTTTTGACCGAAAAACGTGGGCACAAAGCAAAAAGCTGCATGCAATGGACACCACTGTGTACACCCGCTCAGGACTGTGAGGAGCATGACCAGAGTGTGAGGAGCTGGCACTGACATCTAAATTCCCCCATCCTGTCGAGGGCACCCCTATTTTTCGCAAATTTTTACCCAGCCCCAGCTGCTCGTCCTCTGGCGCATTAAGAGCAAACTTTGTGATTGAGGCTCGGGGCACAGCGGTTTAACCGTAGGATAGAGCTGCGGATGGAGCAATTCTGGGCGTTCAGAATAACCTCACCCGTACCCCAAGGAGAAAGGGGAACTGTTCGATTTGCCTGGGGGTCAGGAGGTGGACTGGGGGGGTGGGGGAGGGAACGGATGGATGGAGCGCCAAGTGCCGCGCCTGGCTGCCTCTCTCTCCAGTTTCTCCCTCCCCACCTCATCTTCTACCATTTCCAGAGGCAGGAGAAAGGTGATCTAGGACTTGACCCCTAAATCACAGCTGCTGGTGACTGAACCTCACTCCAGGATGAGCGCAGCCGCTTCCCCGGGCTCGGACAGCTTAACCCTTTCGTCCCCGCGCGCGCGCCCAGGGGCCGGCGGCAGCGGCGCCTCT